CGAATGAATAATTTTAAGCTAGCACTAGAGCAAACTGGTTTTACAGCTTTTTACTAAGTTTCAACCAACAGTCAAATGCTAAATATATTTATTTTCACCTTCTGCTAATGAAACATTACAGCCAGCTACATTCAGAATTTCAGCTGAAGCACCTGAGAAGAGGGTGTACATTCAACATCATTTTCTCATCTGCATAAAAATATTTGTAAAGAGTTTTTATTAAGTAACGAAGAAACAAAGAAATTAAGGTTTACTGGTGTTAGATTTTTTCAAAATACTTTCAACACAATAGTATCCAATTCAAAATACTTAAAAGGCTTAAAAAAATAAAAACCAACTTCAGTGCTATGTGCTACTTAGAACTGTTTCTGAAACCCAGCTGTGGTTTGTGGCACCCAGCACACAGTTAACACAGCTGACCTTATTGAAATCAGTCCGGGTAAGCATGATAACTCTAAAAAAAGAAAACGAGGCCCTCTCGATTAAATGTTAACTACTAATAAATTAACATATTCCCCCTCCTTCTTCCAGAATACCTATAAATAAAAATAGTTGCTCTCAAGTTTTACCAGAAATGGAAATCAAGAGTATTTTGCAGTAGTAGTGACATAACAGCTACAAGAATAAATGACATCCATGAACTATTTGGTAATGGAATAAGTGAACCAGGGGTGTGATAAAAGGACCAAAGTGCCAGCTTGATCCAGAGCTAGCTGAGCACACAGCTACAGTAACAAAGGCCAGATTGTAACAGAGACTCACAACAAGAAGGCATCTAACCACAAGCGTGTCAAACTGTCTTTACCGTGTAAAATTTGGCTTGAAGTCACGAGTCACGTAAGTATGCTAGGCCTGGGGGCAAGGGGGAAAGAGGCAGAAAACAAAGAGATGATACAACAGTGTTGTCTAGTAGGGTGGTGACATTTTTCACACAGGAGAATCTTCCCCTTTTGCAGCTTTTCTTCCTCTCCCGTATCCTGAAGGGTGATCCCAGCTGCAAGGTTTTAAGTAGTCAGGGGCTCCCAAGACTACAGAACATGCCTCCACATGATCACATTACCATGTTTTCTTCAGATTGTTCTCTTCCAAAAAAGTTATGCCACTTCTGCACTGGACATTTCTCCATGTGCATGGCTTTACATAACAAAATGGGTTCTTGCCAGTTTCTACACCCAGGATAGCCAAAACACAGAAAACTACAAACGCATCATCAAACGAACACCAGCAGCAGTCCTGAAGATGTGCTGCAACTCGCACAGCTGTCAGCCCACCCCACCATAATCCGAATGACTTGAGAAGATGTGAATGCCCCATGCCTGGAGGTGTTCAAGGCCAGATTGAGCAAGGCCCTGGGCAACCTGATCTTGTACATGCTGTAGTGGTTGACAACCTTGCCTGTGGCATCGGGGATAGAACTGGATGATCTTTGAGGTCCCTTCCAGCCCAAGCCATTCTAAGACTCCTTCATGAGTTCTTGCAGACAATTCAGTCTTGAGGGCACACACAAGAAGGGAGTCAGAAAGAAGTGAAGCCTGTGAGCCTGTAAGCATCTTCGCTCTCCCAGGAACAAGGCAGCAAGTCAAATGCCACCAGGCAAGAGTTAGTTTCTCTCCCAGCAAGGATTAACCGAAAAAAGAGAATCTATTATCCCTCTTCAGTCAGTTTCAAAAAAACACTGCATGCCATCAACTCTACGTATACCCTGCAAGGAAGTCAGTTCAACATAGTGACCTGATTAAAAAGTATATTCTCACAGCTAAAGACAATTCCCCAAAACTGCTAGAATCAGCATCAAATTGTTAAAAAAAAAAAAAAATCATGTAGTTACATCATCACTTCGTCTGAACAGAAATGCCTATATGAATAGCAGATAGTTTCCTAACACCGATGCTATAGCTAAAGATCTATCATATCCTTGGTCAGAGCTTGAGAAATACTTTGCCTACGAAGCTGCTAGTGAGTAAATGCACAACTCTTCAGCAGCAGCCCTGATTTTACCCTTAGCTACATTATCTGCTACTGTCGGTGTAGTACGCTTTGCCAGAAAAAACACCCCTTGTTTGCAAAAATAATAATAATAATAATAATAATAATAAATAAAAATTCTAGAGTGCATTAACAAGAGCAGGCAAGTAACTGTTTTTCCTATCAGCTATTGTTAACAACAATAAACAAAGCACTTTTTATATAAAACCTGGTTACAAAAACCTAGAAATATTCACATTTACAAAATTAATTCTACATATGCTCCATTCTAAATTACAAATAAAGGTTATTTACAGGATATGCAAGGAAGCAAACAGCACTAAAATAACAATGTGGCTCTTCAAGGTAAGGGTTGCTCTGTTAAAAAAAAAAAAAAGTGTGAGTTTTGTCTGCTTGTTTTAGACAGAAAGCCAAGTTCACCAAAAGTCAGTTAGCTAACTGTCCTAGAAAGAATGCACAGCTTGCTCTTGAAATTTGCTTCATCAGAAGGGGGAAAGTTTCTATGCGCCTTTTGACTGGGAAAAGTGTTGTTGTTTTTTTTAATGTGAAAATAAATTTTAATATAACATATGTTAATAAATATGCATAATTATATATCAATTGATAGATGTTTGATTGTAAATATATTTGAAATAGAAAAATAGTTAATGGAGAAAAAGTCTTAGCTTTATACTGAATATTAAAATGGCCCAAATGAGACCTCTTATTTCTGCTTCTCTGTATTTTTCCAAAGTCTTTACCATTTTATGACACACATGCATCATTATCTGCAAAACCTATCTCCCATCACCGTTATTCATGTCATTCTCCTATAATACATCTCCATGGCACCACTACAGACAACAAATATCACCAGCCACACATCTTTCCCACAGCTTGACCAGTTCAGCAGAGACTGCGGTTCTACTCTTCTGTGTAGACAGCAAGAGTCAAATAACTGGCATAAGCTCCCTTCCAAGCATCTAGTGTATTTATAAAACCAACCTTGAGAATTAAAAGATAATGCTCCTAAGGTAGAATACAGACTACTGGTATCTGCTGAAAATGCAGTGGTTATGAGCAACATAGTAGACAAGTATTTTGGCTTAAAAATAAATGAAGAAACAGTGTTCATAAGGCTACTAGCTACCCATTAAAGTGTTAATTTTCGTATGCAGAGATGAAAACACAACCATAAAGTTTTCCACATCTCGTGTCTTTATGACAATGTTGTTAGGCAGGGAGTGACGTGAAATGACGCCGTGCACCGAGAGGTCAAATGCTTACCTGGAAACCGAAAAACAACAGCAGAAACAAAAGTCACTGTCAGTCTTTAATTTATTCTTTTGAATTTCAAAGGACACGTGTTAGCATTAGTCAGAAGATACACCTTCCTACTACAGCCAGGCCTCAAATTATTCTGTATAACACTAATTGAGGGTCCAGCTAAAGAGTTACCTGTTCAAGGAACCTGCATGTAAAATAAATTATGCAAGAAAGCAAGCCAAGCGTGCTTAAATGTAATAAAGCTTTTTAAAATGATTAGCAGGTTTACTCTTTAATCTGGCAAGTCAACAAACTTTCAGTGCCCAAGAGAAAAAACATAATCAGGGAACAGCACTGTATAAATATTCCACATGCCAAAGCAAAAGGCTTATTTCAGTGTAACAATGCGCTCCTGTTTCAACCAATACCGACAGAAGAAAGAATCTTTCCATAGAAGTTAGTCGTGTGTTAACGCATAACTTCACAGCACGTTTGCATGGAATCCTCAGGGAGCTCCTGGGGCAGCCTGTCACCGCACGGTGACACTCAGGAGGGCTGGGAGGACCCATCCCGCACTGCACACAATGTGAGCCTGACTTCCCAATTTGACTGAGTCCTGAGCCCAACTCCTGCCAAGCGCTGACCGCAGGCATGCGGTCTAATCAGCGTTATGGTCCTGAGACGTTGAAGTAATGGCTGCTACAAGCGAGTGCCGCTCCTAATCCAGGGAATTCATAATTTCACATCGAATTCAAACCAAGAGAAGTCTGCAAAAACACTTCATGTAACAAAAGACGACCGCACTAAAACACGGTCCTACAAGAGAACAGCAGTCCAGTTCGTAAGTCACAAGTCCCTCACCTAATTCACTGCTACATTCCCTGCGATTTACAGACCGTAGAGCAGGAACTGCGAGTGCAAACCTCCGACTGCTATTCAGAATCCAATCAGATTTAACAAAACGGGTATCGGAACTGCCCTCACAAAAAACACCCCACAGCGATTCCCCCAGGGGAGCCCGGAGATGGCAGCAGCAGCACCCGGCTGGCACCGCTGCGACAACCAACTTCTTTCCTTCTCTGCTTCCCGGTGCACAACTTTGCAAACTTGGCAAATCGGTCATACGGGGGGGAACGTCAGGGAAAGATCTCAGAACTGAGCAGTAAGCGTAGATACGAAGGAGAGAATAAAAAGCACAGGCGCAACGAGATGGAGTGGGAGAGCCGCATGGGGGCCGGTATTCAACTTCCCGTGCAGCAGCACCCAACGTTAATCCCACCACCGTTCAACGGGATTAATGGATCTTGCCTACTTGAATCAGTTTATAAAGTTTTTGCTTACAAAATCGAAATGTTTCCGACTAGCGGCTGGCTGCTGCCTAGAAAGCCCGGACTCAGCGCGCAGGGACTCACATAACTCCCCTCCCGAAGGAGAGGAACTGGCACTGCCCTGCGAACCGAACCACAGCAGGAGTCGCAGCAGGGCAAGGCTCCGCTGAAACACCCGTACGGCGAGCAGCCCGCCCGCCTGCTCCCTCCCCGCTCCCAGCCCGGAGAGAAGCGCCCATAGCGCTCCGGCCGAGGCGCACAGCAGCGCGCTCGCAGCCGCGGGACAGGGACTGCCAACGCCGCGGCGCCCGCCCCGCTGCCACGAGGCCGCCCGACCGCCGGCAGGGCGAGAGCAGCTGCGGCTCCCACACGGGCAGGCGGCGCTGCCCCGCCGGCCCCCGAGCCCGGCACTAGAAAGTCCCCGCGGCGTGGTGCCCTTACCTTTGGTCCAGTCTACCACTTGCTTCGGACTCCACTTGGTCACCGGCTCCATGGCGGGCTCAGCCCCACCGGGACTGCCGCCCGCCGCGCTCTCGGACGCGGACTCGCCCCCTCTCAAGCTCCCATCCCGCTGCCCCGCTGCGCGCCCGCCCCGCGCCAGCCGGGCCGTCCCCTCGAGCCGGCTCCTCCCGGAGCCCGCCCCGCAGCCGCCCCGCCCCCACGTGCTGTCGGCCGGCTCCCTTCGGCGGCGGGCCGGGCCGGGTGCCTGCTTCCGCCCCCAGCGGAACTCCGCGGGTGGCGGCCGCTGGGCTGGGAGGGAGGGACGGGGCGATGGCTCTGGTCCGACCTATGGGAAGAAATGGTCGCGGTGGGGCAAGTAGCAGAGTGGAGCTGCCCCGGGGAGAAGGAAGAGGAGAGATGGACGTCTTGGGGAGGAATTGGGTGTCTGAGTGAAATAAACTCCTTGAAAGGAAAAAGGAGCAGTTTTCTGCGCCAATATTAAGCCCGTGGTCGAACATACTCGAAGTGTGTGCTCGCTGGGATGGGGGTCCGTAGCTCTGTGTGTCTGTATTCTGTGCTTTCCTGCCCCAAAGGAGTGTGCCTGCTGCACATCCTGGCCACTGGGTCAAGACGTGGCACATCACCGTTTGGATGTGGTGCTCAGGGACATGATTTAGCGGAGGGTTGTTAGTTAGGTAGTATGGTTAGGTCGTGGTTGGACTCAGTGATCTTTAAGGTCTTTTCCAACCTGAGTGGTTCTATGATTCTATCACCAGCTTTAGGTTGGAGAAGTAGTGGTGAAAAGCAAAAGGGTTTTTTTTGTGCCTGTATACCTAAAAAACAGTAGTTCACTCATCCTGTTTGTCACATGGCAGCTGAAGGTGTATTTCTAGTTCTTCATCCTAAGATCAATTGATTGGAGCTGAGTTGCTGATTTGCTTTCTGCTGTGTGAAACACTATGCCTGTCTCTTCACCTCACTGCGTATTTGAAAGATTAAAATGATATTCACCACAGTATCAATGGAGCAGCCCAAAATTTCTGGATTCCCTTTGGAAATGTGCGTCATTCACACTTCGAAAACAACAAAGCAGCCGCTCTCAGCCCCTGCAAAGGCCAGGGTGAACAGATGGGCCCTGCAATGAGCCCTGTTAATGGTTTCACAACCCTTAGTGTCACAGAGCTTTGGTCTTAACTACACAGATGCTTCCCAAGGTTGCAGGAAGGAAAGCAAATGTCTCGCTGTTGGTGTTTGGAGTGTTCATCTGCTGCCATCCTTCTCTGTCACGCATCTCAAGCCAGGCCCTACGTCTTATTTGGACAGGATGAGCACCAGATTTTGTGAGTCAGAACTGCAAGTCTGGTCACTTGCTAGCAGATCTGAAAATTTGATAAATCATCTATTATTCATTGTTAGAATTTTTATAATTTTCAAGATTACAAATTACTTTTTTTTTTTTTTTTTTTTTGTAAGCAGGACAATGTTGTAGTGACCCTGTGTTCTTTTATTATGTTACGTCCCTCAAAACCATCTGCTGTACAGCCTGCTGTGGACAAATGAAGTTGAAATGACAGGGAAAGGAAGCATGTCTCTAGCTTTTCAGTGAGAAAGGTCACTATTATGTTCATTTGGAAGCTGCAACATACATATTAAGTGACTAGAAATGAGTCAGGTACAGAACTGGATTTGGTTCTGTTAGCATGTAATTAAAATATTCACACTGATGGGGCAACTGTTGTTGCACAAGAATCTTACTTCTCACCTTGATAATAGAACTGTCAGTGATGGATCTCCTTTCTATACATGATCGCGTGGGAGATTTTGGTGTACACTACTGAGAGAAATAGGTCTGCTTAGTCCCTCCCTAAACACTGGGTATACAAAGAAAGCCTCTTTTGTCTGGATGAAATAAGGACAGCCTGAGGAACTTCCAGGCTTTATCACTTTGGGAAAACAATGTCCTGGCTGTATCTCCCCAGTGATTAAAAGAATCTAGTAACCAAGCAGTACTGTCATTTATGTAATATTTTCATGAATTCGGGTTGATTTTTGTAGAATCATAGAGTGGCTTGTGTTAAGGTTCAAGCACCTTAAAGCCTACCCAGTTTCAAACCCTGCCATTGGCAGAGCTGCTGCCCTCCTGAACACGGCCCCATTCAACCTGGCCTTGAATGCTTCCAAGGATGGGGCACACCTGGGGATCACAAGACTATTTTGCACAATATACATTTATTATAAATATATTTTAAAATTAATAGAAATTGGATTATGCATTTATTTTGGCCTCTCTTGGATCCTTTTACCTGGCTATGAAGCTCTCTCACTCTCAAGTAAATTGAGCACAAAACTCACCATGCTCAATGCTTAAGCAGAAACTTGACAATGGCAACCTTTTGGTACACAGAAATAGAAGACTTTACCTAGCTCTCACTTCCCTGTCCAAATGATACACAAGCAGAAAGATTTTCTGGAATACACAACAGTCAGTGTTATCAGATACAGAAGAATTATGTCCCCAAATGGAAAGCAACTGTTGGGAATTTAATACAAGCAAAAGAAAAGGTAGAACAGGGAAAGCAGTTTAAAGATTTAGCAGGAGCAGTGCCTGCTCCATCTGTTACAGCTGTTTGCCCAGTCATCATATGTCAAAGGCACGCACATGTGGACTCATACTCAAACCCAGATTCAAGAAGTCCACATTCAACCTAAATCACTCTAACTCCTTCTCACTCACTGACTGAGGCCCCCAGGTAGAAGGAAACACCACACAAGTTTGAAGCCAGCCTGAAGCTGAGTCCCTGTGCCTATGCAGAACTTTCTGAAGAGTACTTCACAAGGAGACAGGATGCATTGCTCTTTCTCTTTTACAGTCTACCTCTTGCTGCTTCTTTTTAAAGAATGTTAGATACACATGTGTTTTAATTTAGCCTTTTTTTTTTTTTAATAGCCTAAATTTATCTGCAGATTCAGAAATAACAGAAAGGTGCATTGACACTTTTCTCTATATCTGTCTTTGCGGATAGAGGTATATGTAGAAGGGGAAAAAAGTAACAGGAAATAAATACATTATTTAAATATTTGCTCAGCTCTAAAAATAACAAGTGAAGCAAAATTTCTTTTGTTTGTTTGGGTCTTTTTTCCTCTAATTTTCATATATTTAAATGTTTCAAGTTGAATCAGTAGCAGTATCACAACTGTTTAATGAAGCTGAGAAAAATCCACGTGATCAGAAATTGAAGACCCTCTTAACTTCAGAAAGAGTTACTCTAGAAAGAAAACAAACTACTATTATAGTTTCTTCTATAGCATTTTCAAATAATCAGATTTTAAAATATATTTCAAACATTAATGAACAGACTCACAAAATACCTGTGGTCTTGTGGTTAAGACAGCCTAGCTCAATTTCAAAAGAAAGAGGTTCAAAGCCTTGCCCTGTCACAGGCAGCTCATGCAGCACTTGGAAAACTACTAAGAGTCATCCTGAAGTGCTTTAAATTTAGGCATGGGAGTAATTCTGTTAAATTCAGTGGGAGGAATATGCTTAAATGTTTTCATATAAGGGGATATAAGAGTATCTGTAGGTTAACTGTCCAAATATACCTCCATGATTGGAGCAGCTGGGGAGCTTGTGAAGACAACTCCACGTGTTTCCCAGCTGGGGAAGTCATCAGTGGCAGAGGGTCCACTGGAATGAGCAGAGCAGGGATAGGAGGGAAAATAATAAAGTGGTAAACTACAGCTGGTTTGCTATGACCACAGCTACCTCAGAACATGTGCCCAAAGCCTCAGTCCAGTCTTGATCAAGCTCTGCAGAGCAGTGACTGTCCCCTGGCTGAGGCATTTCCTACTGTAGTGGCTCACCTATTTCCTTCTACACATTTTAGATTTCATGATTTGCACACTTACGTAGCTATCATGTACATGTATCTACCCTCGCGTAGATATATGTACATGATCCAAGGATAAAGCCTCAACTCTGTAGCACTTGCTACAGCCTGTAAATTAAATACATAATCACATTCAACAGCTTGCTTTGTGTATTAAAGCTGTTTAATTGTCACTGCTGAGAATTCCATACCTGTCATACCTTTACCAAGGTTCAGCACTGAAATATTCCCTGTACATTAATCATACCCTTTTTTCCATTAATAAATTACTACATTATACTTAATGCTGCCTTAGACTGCATATTACTCTTTCTTCTGAGAAGAGTTGGTTCTTTGGTTGTGTTGAGTCTGGGTTGCAAAGTGAAGCCCCAGGAAGTCAGAGGAATGGAGAGGAAAAAGGAGTAATTCAGTCTTCTTAAAAACAGCTTTGCAGAGACCAAAGAGCAGATCTGTCATCTGAATCAATGGCTACTCTGAGTGCAATAGAAGTCACAAACAAATGTTGGTACCAGAAGTGTTAGAAGAGCTTATATATCATATGAGAAAGGGTAAAGCAATTATCTGAAGTATAACAGCCCTTCTTAAAACCTACTGATCTCCAAAAATAGGTTTACAGCCTCCCTTCGGGACAACACTTTTCATAGCAGAAATCTAGCAAAAGAACTTTAGAAACTGTAATCAATACCTATTCTCTCTCTCCACTGTCAGTATAATTATATCTCCTTTCCCCTGCTCTCAGGACCAAACATTCGCTAATGTAATTAAAAAGTGTAGCAATAGCCATGTTCACTAAGTTGAAAGTGCAGAATTCTGCAAAAACCATTTCTACAATGGTCTGGTCTTTTAGTGTAAAAGCGGATTTTGGTCATCTGTTCCTCAGAATATCATCCTAAATATGAAATTGTAAGACTTGAGAAATGTGCAGAGAAAGATCACAGGGCGTACAAAGACCTTGAATGTAAAAAAATAAACAAAAATAGCGTGCAAACAGATTTAAAATGGCAGATTCAATGGACAGAAATTAGGCCAACACATCAAATATACATTGTTTATTGTTGATGCCTGAGGCCATAAAATTATTTGGAGTCTTTGGCTTTCTCCATGTACAAGATGACGGCAGAAGCCAGACAATGGATTGATGCTTGTTCTTTGAAATACAGCCGCCAGATGAGGGGTGTTGTTGTTTTTAAATATTTAGTGTTTTATTGCAAGGCTGGCACCTCTTACATACTCTTTGAAAGAGAAAATGTACCACAAGTATCCAGCATGAGTTCAAAA